CTCAAAACTTATCATTATCCCCAAAATCTGGAAGTCATCATCACAAGAACATCTATCCTCAAATTATAAAGCTAAGAGTATCTAAGAAAACTAAACATAAATAATAGCTAGTCTATGCCAGAACTTCGAGGCATCAAGACATGAAGAAGAAGATCCAGTCCAAGCTAGAAGCTTTAGCTCACCCTGAAATCTAGTGTGATGAAGACTGGCTGGAGTTGCGGTTGGGTTGAAGACGACGGTACGTTTGCTAACTGGCTAGAGTTGCGGTTGGGTTGAAGACGACGGTACGTTTGCTACACTCCACAATGAACAAAAGAAAACATACAAGCAGGGGTCAGTACAAAACACGAGTACTGAGTAGATATCATCGGTCAACTCAAAATAGAAAACAGTATATATCAGATAATATCATAAAATCAACTACAATACTCAATAGGTAGCAACAACAAGCACTATAATCATTAATAAGTACGCCAAGTACACCCATGAGGACGCAAGCCTCCATACCCTACTCATTTGGGAAATAGGTTCATTAAATCTGAGTATATTACCATAATTCAGGATTCACTCTCTTTATTCCTCTTGTGTCGGAACGTGACACTCCGATCCCCTAATACTACGTGTCGGTTCGTGACACCCGATCTCCCTAATACTAGGTGTCGGTTTGTGACACCCGATCCCCCTAATACTACGTGTCGGTTCGTGACACCCGATCCCCCTAATACTATGTGTCAGTTCGTGACACCCGATCCCCTAACCTCATTCTTTTAGTTCATCAAGCCTTCTTTTATACCAAGGCATCATCATTAACTAGAGGTTTTCAAGATTTAGGATTCAATAGCTTCATCATGCTTATTTCATCACCATTATATCATCACATTATGCAAACACACAATTAAGCATATAGAAGGGTTTTACAATACTACCAATACATATCATTCGCTATTAAGAGTTTACTATGAAATAGCATAAACCATAACCTACCTCCACCGAAGATTAGTGATCAAGCAAGCAAATTCCCCAAAGCTTTGTTTTCCTCTTCATTTCTCCTCTCTCGATTGTTCTTCTCCCTCTCTCTGTTCTTTCTATTTTTCTTATTCAACCCTCTTTCTTTTATCCTAATTAGCATATAATTAAGTATAAAAGATGATGAATTAACCCATAAATTAATTCAAGGTTATCTTCTTTAACCCTCCAGTAGTTAAATTATTAACATTAACCCACTAGATTTATAATTATAGCAGGAATAGTCCAAAACGCCCCTTAAAACATTTAACAGAAATTCGACTCAGCCTGGGATTACGCAGTCTGTGACGGCCCGTCGTGCCTGTGACGGTCCGTCCTGCTGCTTCCGTCACAAAGTTCAGAGACTAAATTTCACCAAAGGATCTGTGACGGTCCGTCCTGCCATTCTGTCACGAAGTTCAGAGAGTCGATTTCAATATCCAAATTTCAGAAATCTAAGTGTTTTGGAACGAGACCCCCTCGACAGTCCGTCGTGCCCATGACGGTCCGTCGTGGGATCCGTCGTCTCAGCCAGTTTTTCCAGAAATAAAATCTGCTGCTCAAAACGACTAAACAGGTCGTTACAATAATATCTGTATGGATATTGGACTTACGAAATTTATGGTCTTAAATATGCTATTATACTTGTATAATTACAATTAGGAACTTGTTATTAATTACAAAACGAAACGTTAAACTACGATTAAATGGTTCCAAATATAGAACTATACTCCCTCCTCCCCTCCAAAATAATTGATATTTTAGCCTCTATAAGGCAATCCGAAATACTAATAGATCATGAAAAGTAAAATTTTAAAGCATATATGAAAAGTAAAATAGACCATCAATTTTATTTTTATTTTTAAAAAAAGAAACGTCGTGCATCATGCCTTTTAGAAATTTGTATGATTTATTATTATGATAGATATATAATAACAAACTAATATAAGGAAGACTATTCCCTTTTTACTTTAAAATTCAATTCGTTTCAAAACGGACAAAAAAAAATCTGACGTGAGAGAAAACGTTAATTTAGTCAGGTATAATATAAAATATAAAAAAATAGACTTTTTTGTATTCATAGTACTCCATAAAAGTAATTTAAACAATCAGATAACTATATTCTATAGTGTAATTAATTATATTTAGTCAAAAGAGTATTGAGAGACAGAAAGAGTCTTCTTTTTTAATCGAAAAAAAAAATTTAGTTAAGAATTATGCATTTCAATTAACTATTTAAATTTTTAATTATAAAATTGGTATTTTGATAAAAATAATAACTTAAAATATAGTATTTGGCCCGAAAAGTCAAAGTACTACATTAGATGGTTAAATTTATGTTAAAATTACATAGATCTCATAGTCTAATTATATTTTATTACTATTTTTTTTCTTAAATTACAAAATCTCTATAATTTATAGTATCTCGGATACATAAAAACTTGTCAATACATAGCTTATGCATTTCGAATGGTATATTACTTAAGGAATTGAATGTATCCTAAAGGGAATAGGGATGTATCTGAGAGGAGAGAAATATTTTCGAGAGAAGATAAGAATGTATCCAAGAGAGTTTTCATAATTTTTAAATGATTGAAAATTATAGAGATTGTCATAAAATAAGATGCGTATGAACTATTCAAAATAACTTATATTTACCTATTATTAATATTTTTGAGTCTGATGATTAACATAATGAATTAGCCTTTATTTACTTTGTATAATTGTCCGTTCAAATAATTTGTAAATATTGTACATTGACTAGTGACAGTAATTACTTTTGGGCCAATGACTAATTAGGTAAATAATCTATTTTCAAATGTCGAAACTTATCATCTAATGCCACGTTTAATGAAGCTGCTACATTTTCAACATTTTTTTTTTTGACCCCAACGGTATTATATACGTGCATTAAAATAATAAATTTGTCTCTGAATTGTGTGAATATTATATTTGGATGCTAATTGTCTTTTGAAATATAAATAAAAATTAACTTATTTTAATCTGCAGGTATTGAAAAATTACGATGGATGTTCATGTAGCTTACTTTGATGCCCAAGTAAATTTTTGCAAGACTTATAAATAGTCTTTAAAATATTGATCTTTTTCTCTCAATCGACGATACTCATTTTCTTGTTATTTCATTTTTATAGTAATATTGTTATGTCGGGTCCTGAGTGTTGTGAAAATCCACCAAATTACCTGAGCGGCGGTGGCGGAGGAGGAGGAGCTGGTCATGTCCAACAACTTGGTGGTTTCAACTGTTATCTTTCTGGTCCTCTTGATTCTGCTCAAGCTATAATCCTTGTTTCTGATGTTTTTGGTAACTTCTCATTTTTGTGCTCATTTTGAAATTTAGAATTTAAATAAGTATTTTTTTTAAAAAATATGATTTATATTGAACGACTAAGTATTGGCTGTTTTTTTTGGTTTAATATGCAGGATATGAAGCTCCAAAGTTGAGGTAAGGATTGCAGGAACTTTTAATTTGACCTCTGCTAATATCAATCTCCGTTCTTCAATTTTGGATATGCATTTATATATACTTAAACTTATATAAAATTGAACAAATATATACACAACATCCTGTATGGATGTAATTAATAGATCATATTCTTCAAACTGATATATAGATTATAGAAAGCTTGCAGATAAAGTTGCAGCAGCTGGATTCTATGTAGTAGTCCCTGATTTCCTGCGTGGTGATCCTCGTATACCTAATGATGAGAAGCCTTTAGAAGTATGGATAGTAGATCATGGACCGGTGAGTTCCTATTTCTAATATTGATATATATATATATATACATGCACTACAACAAAAATGACCATTAGCGTCATTTAATTCTTAATTACCGCTAAATATGTATTTTTAGCGGCAGTTGTCACTCTTTGTATATGTCCCTAAGTCTTTAGCGACATTAATTTTAATGGCACTTAATTAATGCCGGTAAAGAGTTTAGCATTCTTTATTAGTATCAATATTTAATGTCGCTAAAAATTGTTTTTGTTGGTGTGATGTTTGCAGTTTTATGTGATGTATTCTTGTTGCTACAGGATCAAGGATTCGAATATGCAAAACCAGTTATTGAAGCTTTAAAGAGCAAAGGTGTAACAAAGATCGGAGCAGCAGGCTTTTGTTGGGGAGGTCATTATTGTTGCTCTGATTACAACTTACAAGCTCTTTTTATCTTTGTTAAACTTAAAACTTTGAATTCGTTCCAGCTAAGGTAGTCGTTGAACTAGCAAAATATGCTTATATTCAAGCTGCAGTGCTATTGCATCCTTCATTTGTCGTTATAGATGATATGCACGGTATGATTTTCTTCTTATCTTTCTCTTGTTCGTATGAAGTATTCAGCATACCTAAATACAGAGCACAATTTCATATCAGGGCTAAATTTTCATAAGCCTCTATTGTTGTTGTGTTTCAGCTGTTAAGATTCCAATCTCAATATTGGGAGCGGAGATTGACAGATATTCTTCACCTGAGCTTGTCAAGCAATTTGAGATGGCCTTAAATGCGAAGCCTGAGGTAGGAATTCGAGTTGTATCATAATAATTGACTAATACGTGTATTCGAGTACATAGTTTACCAACAAAACATGTTCCAACAGAGGTTTATAAGATATACTTAGATTGCACTTTAGTTTGTTAAACAATGACAAAAATCTCACTATGGTTAATGAGATGAATTGACTCCTTATAAGGCTTCAGCAATCCTCTTCCCTTTGAACTCTGTGAGTTAAGCACAAGACCTAACTCAACAGTATTACTGCCAACGTGAATGAATTTAACGTTGATGGTGCTTTTTCCGTGCAGGTTGATGCATTTGTGAAGATTTTTCCTGGGGTTACACATGGCTGGGCCGTGAGGTACAACGATGAAGATGAATTAGCTGTAAAATCTGCTGAAGAGTCTCATCAAGACATGTTGGGTTGGTTTGAGAAACATCTCAAGTAAAATTTGCGTAATAACATGTTATCTTTGTATGTATTTGGTAATAAGGTTTGGGTGGGTTTTCTTTGTATGCAAAATGAGTGTTGTTTGTGTTTGATTTATGAGATAATTTGTGACACAACACTTGTTTGTCGATCTATATTGACAGTGAGAATTTCACTTAAATGTGGACTCTGGTTATGTTTATTAAAAAATATAAAATAGGGTACATTTGAAAAAGAAGGAGTGAAAGTGAAAACACGATTTTGGTATTCTCTGTTGGGTTTTGTTTGCCCTGATTTTCTTACCATAAATAGGTTTTTTCTTTTTAGAAAAAGGTTTTGGATTGACTAATCATTTTCTTTTCTTGTAGGAAAAGGTTTAGGACTCTATAAATAGAGGCATGTTCCTTCTAACTTAATCATCATTCACAATGTAATCTTAAGGGCTTTGAGAGTTTTGGTTAGAGAGAGAATTTGTGGATCACAAGCTTTATACATTATCACTTGTGTGAACCTCCCATGTATTCCGAGTGAATTGGTTGAGGTTGTTTCCCTCTGTATTTTATACTCATATTTATAGTGGAATGCTCATCTCCTTTGTGAACGTAGGTTGATTGGCCGAACCACGTTAAATCTCTGTGTCTTTTGGTATATTTTTCGTTGTCTTCTTACTCGTGGTCTTTTGAGGTTTGCTTTGCTGGCTTCCGCGTTTACACCTGCTTATTTCCGATCCTAACATTCTCTAAATTTCAAATTATAGTTGATTTTTACGATCAAACGCTGATTTTTAAAAGATCGGAAGAAAATAAAATACCCTTCCAATAAGTTAGAAAAATTACTGATTGGAATTAATGTCATTAAAGAAAAAATAATCCCAAAAACTTCCTTTACTTATAAGGAACACTTTAAGCAACTCAATGACATATTTTGAAAATTAGTGAGTGATAAATAAAAATATGATATTCAAGCTACATTTTATTTTAGAAAAAAGATTCATCGAACACCTCAAGACAAAGTAAAGAACAATAAACATTTCATTGCATATTGAGATAGCTATGTAAGGTATCTTTTTTATTGTTTTGATTTGCTGGAGAATTGTCCTTTTCATTTTAATTCCAAAAACATTACAACAAAACTATATTTATCACTTTGGGCTTGTTTTATAGGATATATAAGTGTACTAGTAATAGTCTTATTAATAATGTTTGTATTAGTTATGTTTGCATTAACTATGCAAAAATTATTTCGTATGCACTATTCGACTTGGGTATCAAAATAGTATATATAGCATAATTTTTTAAAATAATATTTATTTACAAAAACCTTCCACAAATATGATAAAAAGATGTAAAAAAAAGTTTTGAAGAACAATTGGATCTTCAATCATGTTAATGCATGGATTATCCTCGTACATTACTTAAAATACCATGGATATTCATGTGTTAGTGATGTACTCCTTAATATATATAATAGAGGGTATAACTAGTGTTGAATAAATGCACCAAACAAGGTACTATTAATACATAAAACTAGGCTGTCAAAATGAGCCTAAATATATTTAACATCCACCCACCCCTCGAACTCACCTAAAATTTTATGTGTTGGCCCAAGATAATTTATATTGAGTTCAATTTCAACTCAATTAAACCTTAACTAATTTTTTTAAAAAACTTCAATTGAGCCCAATTTAATGTGTTTCAACTTGTTTGAATTTTTTTTTATTTACATTGATGTAAATTACTTTCGTATATTGAATGTATGAATTACCTATTTTATATCTTCTAAGACTGATCTATCCATTTGCACTTTTTTTTAGTAATACTTTTAAAAGGAAGGGAATAATGAAGAATATGTTAACTAATAATGTGTATATAAGTAATTTTTCCTTTTATGATTTTATGAGTAAATTTTAGGTTTAGCAAACATAAAAATTATATTTGTATGTTATAACTATAGTTTGTATAATTGCGCTCTATAATAAATTTTTATGTTTGTTATGACTATTAATCTGTATATTTCGATGTACATATACACCATATATGTAAATTTTGATATACATGTACACCATATTTGTATATTTCGCTATACTTATACATAAAATTGTGACATGCCTTGATTTGTATATGTCGATAATTTGTATATTGATCTGTATACAAACTAACACATAATAATTATATGTAAATAAAATTACTATATATATATACATAAAGATATTTTACAAACATGTCTTATAATGTATAACTATGAATAATATATAAATAACAAATTGAATTTAAATAAACTAAGAAATAGTAATTATATACTGAATGGGTAATTGTATATTGAATGGGTAATATATATAAACAATAAATTGAATTTGTATAAAGAAACTAAAAAATAGTAATTGTATATCGAATGGATAATTGTATACCGAATGGCAAAAATATGAAATGTTTGTTGCGAATTACAAATAAAAGAAACGATTGCTATAGCATTTAATTTGAATTAATACTTTGTTATTTTATACAATTTTCCTTTATTTTATTCTAATTTATAAAGACAAAACTCTTGATAAATTACCTTATCTACCTATCCTTTATAATTATATTTTCTAATATTTCCTACCATTTCAAAATATTACAATATTTCCTCTTTTTCCTTCAAAACTCCACTCATCCGGATAAATAACTTTTCAACTCACGCATGTTTCTCTCTTTCGATTTTCACGTCTTCAGTCTCCTTGTATTTTCATTCCCTCTATCTCAACAATTACTTCATTTATTACAATTTTGAATTTCAAATTTATACTTTCTCAAATCATTGGATCTCAACTTTCTCAATAGGTAAATTTTCTTCTTCGACAACTTACAATTCATTGTTTTTGTTCTTCTTTTTTTTTTCAAAATCTCGATATATATCAATGATGCTCCTTCTTTTAGTGATGGGATTACCCAATTAACCTCACCTAATATTGATCGTGTTTATAATTATAATGAGGATGATTGGACTGAAAATAAATTCAATCAATTATATTGTTCATTATCAATGGCAAAATGTTGAGAAGGCAAAATCGAAGAAAAATGTATTTTTGTCTTCTAAAATGACTGTGGAACCCACCCCACCTTCCCCCCCAAAAAGGTAGAAAATTGAATTTGTAATATATTGCTCTACACTATATTTTTTTCTTCAATTTTTTGTTGTTCATCTTTTTCTGATACAAAAAATAGGAGAAAAGTAGAACAAATTGCTGAATACCCAAATTTTTAATGTACCTAATTGATATAGCTTTATAAATTTATGTATGATGCACTTGTTTTAACTGTGTGATTCATTATTTTATCATGTACATTGTATTCGTGTTCAAATATTAGTTTTGATATATAACTCTAATTTATTGAAACGCAAATCAATATGTATCATGTCATATTTACATATTTGGTATATAACATTACGAATTTCGTTATCTTTTACTACCAAATTAGATACATATACACATATTATTCAACTAGTATGTTATGTATCTGTATACATAATCAAATATTATTGTTGATACGAAAACACTAATAATTTATAATAATATTAATTTGTATCATATTCATTGTTATGTATATGACACATAACTTTATTATGAATCATATGTTGTTAAGTATTTGCAACACTTTTTACAACTAGATCAATGTGTATCATATTCATTTTTGTATATATAGGATACATAACTATGTCAAATTATCGAACTAACCATATATCATATGTTATATATATATGCAGTCTCCGAATAACATTTTAGGACATAGATGTACTAATTTTTTAACGCATGTATATTAAATTCAACCAATTTCAAATTTTATAGTATATGTCAATACATGTCAACTAACCACAACGTTATATAGCAATAAAAAATGATTTTGAAAACAATTACATGTATAAATATATCTTTTAATTTTATAAATTACAATATTTTGTCAATTATATAAGATACATAAATAGTAATGTATCATGCACAATTTTATGATCGTGATACAGAAATAGTAATCTATAGTCAATCGCCAATATTTCTTCTCTGAATTTGTTAAGATTTGGAGAGATATGAAAAAATAAAATTTGAATTTTAAATTGTTTGAAGTTATTAAGGGATTGGCGTCAACTTGATTTGCGTGATTTGGAGAAATCACATTCAATTTTACATTCCTTTTCCTATTAAATCATAACTGATTTTTTTAAATATATCATGTTAAAGTGATATGTGTTTGAATGACACTAATTTTGAGAAATTTTTGTAAATTAAAAAAAAATAGGGATAAAATGTAATTTGTTTCTTACACTACGAGGATCCTAAAAGTTTACTTTATTTATTTTATTCAGTAAATGTAGCCCATGGAGGTTACTATTAATTTTTTAAAAGTTATTCATCGGATCATCCATCAAGATAAAAATAATCGATTTTTCCTAGATATGTTGTTTGATACAAGATCAAGATACTAAAAATGCTATTTACAAAATTAAATAATTATATTTTATGTTTTTATGTACTTATATCTCTGGTCTGTGTTATACGTATATATCAAATCGGATAATATTTATTTTATAAATATAATATTAAAGTACTAAGATCACTTGCAATGAATTCAATATAAATCTTTTCGATTTACATTATAAAAGGAGAATTTTAATAGATAATCATTTCATAAAAAACTTCTAAGGAATTTGTAAAATGATTTTTCAGAGACAAGATACACAAATATTTACTTATATGAATTAGGTCCAAATAAAGTGAATTTCTTCTTTGATGATGTAAATTTAAATGATACATATCAATTTCATTGCATAAAATCAATTATAGATGAGTTTAACTTGCATAAAATCAAGTATCAAAAATATAAATAAGAAACATAATTAGTGTGTTTTTAGGAAACTTATCGTTTTATATATATCAAGTCTTAAAGATACTTGATGACTTTGCTTCTTTCAAAGGATAAAATTATCAATGTATTTTTAAACTATTCATTGAAAAATACTTAAAAGGACTAATATACTTTGGAACTATTCATTGAACTATCAAGATAATAGGATCAATGTAACCTTAAAAGAATTATTCAATGCAATTAAAAATGACTAAAATATAATTTAACTGAGTAATTACTTGTTACATATTGCATATGTT